TTCTTCAGTGTGTATGTATAGAGTGCAGAAATATGCAGTTGGCAGTACATATCTTTCCAAACCTTACTATCAAGACACCTTGCTGGGCTGTCCTAATGTTAAAGCTTGCCTGCCTCTTCATTCATCCTGCACATCACTATTGGTCAATGAGACTGCCATTCAGATTCACCAAACCAGCTTCTGCTTCTGTTGTTCCCAAGCAGATATGGATTTATCTTCAGGCATGTTAAGCAGTGACTATACATTTCACTGGTCGAAAATTCGCCTGCTCTGTGGCTCCCTTGATTTCCCAAACTTTTTCAGTACAGAAGGGGCACCATTCTGAAGTCCTGATCTGGGTGCATAAATTATCCCGTCCAGGGTCTCCAAAGTTAAACAACAGTACATGCTTCACTGTCAGACTCCGAATGTGCACTGAGTATAAAGCTGTGGTATGTGATTGACTGTTTTGTGCACAGTCAAGCATTTACTGTGGGACACTGGAGACACTAAAAACCGGTGGATCATAATCATTCAGGGAACCCCTTTATGGGACACATTGGTGGTACTACTCTGCCGGCTATGAGTGATATGACAGAAACATTGAACAATGAGATTGTATAGTGGCAGCCTCTTGAACATGGTAGAAGGGAGATGTAAATAGGCAATGGTGAGAGCAAAATATGTCAACAATTCTGTTTCTACAGGTTCTGGTTCTCAACTCTTAAAGGAAACATGCACTTATTAAATTATTAAGGTACGTGTCTGTCTCTGGCATCAGTACTTTGAGTCATTGACCAAGAAAAAGCATTCCGATGAAGAGGGTCAAAGTAAAGTCAGGGCTCTTAATCACACTTGTTACAGTTGCTCCAGAGCCGTAGCTAGCTCCTTTTGCACCCGAGGCAAGAACAGAAAATTGTGCCCCCCCCCAATAGACTTGTGCGGTATGTGACATCATGTGCCCCGCCTCCAAGATAACAGCGCACATGCTCAGCATGCTCTGGTGGGCAAATCCAAAATAGCATAAAAATGTGTCTAGTAATATGTGTGCATGAGTGTGTGTGTTTGGTGGGAAGGGGGTTGTGTGTGTGTTATTATTATTTTCTTTTTTTTTTACTGTTGGGGGGTTTCAGTGAAATATCAGGGGTTTAAAAAGTCATTCTAGGCAGCACAATTCGCCTCTGGGCTCCATAGGTAATTCAAATTGGCCAAACACAGTCTGATTCTTGAACATGATTTCTAATTTAAACATTTCTTGCAATGATCAGACAACTATCCAATTGTATAGGGCTTCTTTGGGGGTTAGTGATAAAAGTTTTTGACCATTATAGTTGGTTATGTTCACCATGTTTAGCAATTTTCCTGCTTTTTGGAAAATCTCAAAAAGAGCAGATACCAAGTGTTTCCTTTCATATGGAGAAATGGCAACAAGTACCAACAAGGGCATGTGCCACGTACACCAGTCTAAGCAGAGTATATATCAGTTAGCATATCAGTCTAATAATATCATATTATGGTCGATTCAAATGGTGCAGCAATACTTTTAAGGTTAGCCACACATACTGTATCACCACCAATTGTTTTTGGTGCTGTACTGGTTGCCAATGCCTAGGCTAAGGGAACTTGCAATTTAAAATTTCAATGTCCAACCATAACTTTAAGGGGTTTTTGAGTGGATCATGTTCAGATTCTAAACAATTATATTTCAGATGATATGAAGTTCTAAAAACCTTCAAAGAGTATTAAATAAGATTATTTGTTTTGTCTTTTTATGTCTTTTTGTGCAGAAGTAAGCCAATTCCCCACACCTCTCAACCAATTGTCTCTCTATATATGCACCTAACCAGCGTAAACCATGCCCGCAATGTTTAACAGCTCTCAAAAAACTTTTGTGTACTCTCATTATTACAAATATGCCAAGTACTAGTAGAACATAAATCATTACTTCTCTTACTTCAGCATTTTAGCAACAAAAAAGGTTCAAGGTGAAACGCTTGTAATTTAAAATTATAGTCTGTACTTCTGTTTCATTACTTTTTTTTTTGCCAAGCCCTCAAGTCAAGAAAACTGATGCATATGAATTGAATGCAAGCAGGCAATGCATTAATGACTGGTGTAAGGCAGCAAAACTGAGACACATAAGATGCAGACTGACATTAATGGAGAAATGTGCCTGTGGTCATGCACAAGGGGGAAAAAAACAGACCCACCTGCTTCTTGCCTTTAACCTAGGTTTAAAATCAGATGTCAGACAAGATTAATTAAATGCCTCCAGTTTGATTCTGTTCTGCTGATAGGAGAAACACATTTCCATAATGCAAGGAAGCATTTATGTGGGTAGAAAATTGGTCTGACATTGAGGCAAGGTTTGTTGTATTGTGAAGCTGGCTGTGCGGTGCTTGTCACTGCAATTACTTTCTACTCAAGTGCTTTGCTTTTTAACATTTTATTATCCTCACAACAAAACCCTGGAAGCAATAATTATTTATTATGTTAATGGAAAAGCTTTCTTTCTTCCCGACATTATGCCAGCCATTAAATACTTGCTGTGTCCTAGATATACATAAGGTACATTCAGTTTATCCAATTAAGAATACAAGTAGTAAAAGCAGTTGACTACCGTAGTAACAGATTGAAGAAGCATCCAATTTGTACACAGATTAAATTTCTTTACCTAGAAACATTTGCAATTGTGTACACACCCAGCAGGTGTGTTGTGCAAAGCCCTGAAGGAATTCCAAGGTGATGTTGGGTAAATTAGCTCTATGTTGTGTTGCTTGCGTTGATGAATGCAAGGAATGTAAATGCATGAGCTAACCATTTTTGTCTAAACTGTGAAGCAGCATTATATATGCATCATGTGCATGATTTTTCCATATATGGCATTAGTGGAAATATGCTTTTAGAGACTTTTTGGTTGATAAATACGTTTTGCTGTGTGAAAATCACACACACCTGGTGCGTGCGTGTGTTTAGGTTAGTAAATCACCCCCAGAGTGTTACCATTTAAGATGTTATTCAGACATAAAGGGGGTGATTTACTAACCTAAACACACAAACACACCAGGTGTGTGTGATTTTCACACAGCAAAACGTATTTATCAACCAAAAAGTCTCTAAAAGCATATTTCCACTAATCCCATATATGGAAAAATCATGCACATGATGCATATATAATGCTGCTTCACAGTTTAGACAAAAATGGTTAGCTCATGCATTTACATTCCTTGCATTCATCAACGCAAGCAACACAACATAGAGCTAATTTACCCAACAACATCTTGGAATTCATTCAGGGCTTTGCACAACACACCTGCTGGGTGTGTACACATTACAAAGGTGTTTAGATTCCACCCATAGATCATGCTGGGAGGGAACACACTGCAGAGGTGTATACACGTTCGTGGTGTGTTTATAAGGTTAGTAAATCAACCCCAAAGAATTGGCTTTAATTAGTAATCCATACCATGGCTCTGGACAGATATCATTGTCTTTCATCACCTGTTGCTTTTTTATGTCTATTAGAGATTTTAGCAATGGGATCTCATCACTGAAGTTTAGGTCCCTGTCTTCGATGATGTCTATTACATTGTTTAGTGATACTGCCACACCTCTCTTGCTGGATTTTCCCTAATGTAAAATAAATAAAGAATCTAGACATAAATAGTCTCATGAGATGTACATTTGTATGACTTATAAAAAGATGTCAAAATTGTATCTTGTATCACAGTACACAAATCCATGTGCTAACCACAAATAAAACCAAAAAATGTTTTGAACGCTACCCTTTTTTTCTTCAGTGTGTATGTATAGAGTGCAGAAATATGCAGTTGGCAGTACATATCTTTCCAAACCTTACTATCAAGACACCTTGCTGGGCTGTCCTAATGTTAAAGCTTGCCTGCCTCTTCATTCATCCTGCACATCACTATTGGTCAATGAGACTGCCATTCAGATTCACCAAACCAGCTTCTGCTTCTGTTGTTCCCAAGCAGATATGGATTTATCTTCAGGCATGTTAAGCAGTGACTATACATTTCACTGGTCGAAAATTCGCCTGCTCTGTGGCTCCCTTGATTTCCCAAACTTTTTCAGTACAGAAGGGGCACCATTCTGAAGTCCTGATCTGGGTGCATAAATTATCCCGTCCAGGGTCTCCAAAGTTAAACAACAGTACATGCTTCACTGTCAGACTCCGAATGTGCACTGAGTATAAAGCTGTGGTATGTGATTGACTGTTTTGTGCACAGTCAAGCATTTACTGTGGGACACTGGAGACACTAAAAACCGGTGGATCATAATCATTCAGGGAACCCCTTTATGGGACACATTGGTGGTACTACTCTGCCGGCTATGAGTGATATGACAGAAACATTGAACAATGAGATTGTATAGTGGCAGCCTCTTGAACATGGTAGAAGGGAGATGTAAATAGGCAATGGTGAGAGCAAAATATGTCAACAATTCTGTTTCTACAGGTTCTGGTTCTCAACTCTTAAAGGAAACATGCACTTATTAAATTATTAAGGTACGTGTCTGTCTCTGGCATCAGTACTTTGAGTCATTGACCAAGAAAAAGCATTCCGATGAAGAGGGTCAAAGTAAAGTCAGGGCTCTTAATCACACTTGTTACAGTTGCTCCAGAGCCGTAGCTAGCTCCTTTTGCACCCGAGGCAAGAACAGAAAATTGTGCCCCCCCCCAATAGACTTGTGCGGTATGTGACATCATGTGCCCCGCCTCCAAGATAACAGCGCACATGCTCAGCATGCTCTGGTGGGCAAATCCAAAATAGCATAAAAATGTGTCTAGTAATATGTGTGCATGAGTGTGTGTGTTTGGTGGGAAGGGGGTTGTGTGTGTGTTATTATTATTTTCTTTTTTTTTTACTGTTGGGGGGTTTCAGTGAAATATCAGGGGTTTAAAAAGTCATTCTAGGCAGCACAATTCGCCTCTGGGCTCCATAGGTAATTCAAATTGGCCAAACACAGTCTGATTCTTGAACATGATTTCTAATTTAAACATTTCTTGCAATGATCAGACAACTATCCAATTGTATAGGGCTTCTTTGGGGGTTAGTGATAAAAGTTTTTGACCATTATAGTTGGTTATGTTCACCATGTTTAGCAATTTTCCTGCTTTTTGGAAAATCTCAAAAAGAGCAGATACCAAGTGTTTCCTTTCATATGGAGAAATGGCAACAAGTACCAACAAGGGCATGTGCCACGTACACCAGTCTAAGCAGAGTATATATCAGTTAGCATATCAGTCTAATAATATCATATTATGGTCGATTCAAATGGTGCAGCAATACTTTTAAGGTTAGCCACACATACTGTATCACCACCAATTGTTTTTGGTGCTGTACTGGTTGCCAATGCCTAGGCTAAGGGAACTTGCAATTTAAAATTTCAATGTCCAACCATAACTTTAAGGGGTTTTTGAGTGGATCATGTTCAGATTCTAAACAATTATATTTCAGATGATATGAAGTTCTAAAAACCTTCAAAGAGTATTAAATAAGATTATTTGTTTTGTCTTTTTATGTCTTTTTGTGCAGAAGTAAGCCAATTCCCCACACCTCTCAACCAATTGTCTCTCTATATATGCACCTAACCAGCGTAAACCATGCCCGCAATGTTTAACAGCTCTCAAAAAACTTTTGTGTACTCTCATTATTACAAATATGCCAAGTACTAGTAGAACATAAATCATTACTTCTCTTACTTCAGCATTTTAGCAACAAAAAAGGTTCAAGGTGAAACGCTTGTAATTTAAAATTATAGTCTGTACTTCTGTTTCATTACTTTTTTTTTTGCCAAGCCCTCAAGTCAAGAAAACTGATGCATATGAATTGAATGCAAGCAGGCAATGCATTAATGACTGGTGTAAGGCAGCAAAACTGAGACACATAAGATGCAGACTGACATTAATGGAGAAATGTGCCTGTGGTCATGCACAAGGGGGAAAAAAACAGACCCACCTGCTTCTTGCCTTTAACCTAGGTTTAAAATCAGATGTCAGACAAGATTAATTAAATGCCTCCAGTTTGATTCTGTTCTGCTGATAGGAGAAACACATTTCCATAATGCAAGGAAGCATTTATGTGGGTAGAAAATTGGTCTGACATTGAGGCAAGGTTTGTTGTATTGTGAAGCTGGCTGTGCGGTGCTTGTCACTGCAATTACTTTCTACTCAAGTGCTTTGCTTTTTAACATTTTATTATCCTCACAACAAAACCCTGGAAGCAATAATTATTTATTATGTTAATGGAAAAGCTTTCTTTCTTCCCGACATTATGCCAGCCATTAAATACTTGCTGTGTCCTAGATATACATAAGGTACATTCAGTTTATCCAATTAAGAATACAAGTAGTAAAAGCAGTTGACTACCGTAGTAACAGATTGAAGAAGCATCCAATTTGTACACAGATTAAATTTCTTTACCTAGAAACATTTGCAACAAAGCTTATAAGAAGATCAAATCCGCTCTATGTTAATGCAAGTGTTTACCAGGATAAGTATGAGTACGGATGTATAGGTTACATATTATATTCTGGACATAGATAGTTTATGCACTAAAAGCCTTTGTCATAAGAAAATCAGTGAAGTAAATTTTCCATTCCTGTCATTCTCTTCGTAGTGCCCTTCCAACTCTTGTTTTTCTTACTTAACCACTTCAATAGCGCCATACTATAAAAACAATGGTGGAGAGGTAGATGCTATATACTGGTGCGCAGTTTATCAGTAATGCTGCAAAAGACCCAAACACTGTCATTTGCACAATGTAATATCTCGTAATCACTGTGAACCAATCTACAAACAAATATTAAGCCTATTCACAACTAAGGAAGCACTGAATGGCCTGATAATGATGGGGTTAAAACAGGCTGGTACTCAGGTGGTTAAGATCACACAACAATATTATAAAAAGAAGCTGTAAGATTATCAAAAAGAGTGGACTATGCATTTCCTAACTTATGATCTTATGACTTATTATTAGGGATGCACCGATATATCGGCTGCCGAAACATATCGTCCGAAAATGGCACTTTTGGCATAATGCCGAAAGTGCCATTTTCTGGCCGATAAAGCGTTGCATCTGTGTATTCTCTCCTCCACGCTGGGCACTGCTCTGTGTCCCAGCGGGGAGAAGAGAAACTGTGACAGTCGGCCGAGCGCTGTGTGAGCAGCCTGCATCTCTCCTCCCTGCACCGCTCAGCCTCCTGTCACAGTCCGCCAGAGGGGTGTGTGGGTGGAGATAGGCCGCGCTGTCAGAGGAGGCTGAGCTCTCCTCTCTGCACCGCTCGCTCAGCCTCCTGTGACAGCTGTCACAAAGGAGAACCAATGCAAACACTCAGTAATCAGTGATCGCTGAGTGTTTGTACATAATTAAGGACAGAGTATGGTTACTATATCCTCAATTATGAATGAATGGGAAGTGATCTACATCACCTCCTGTTCATTCATAGTTGTGGTTATAGTAAACACACTATCTTCTCATGTTATGAATAAACAGGAACCTCTAATATTTCCCCAAAGCCCCTAAAAATAAAGTAAAAAAATAAATATTTATTGCAAATAAATAAATAAAAATAAAATATTTTTAAAAATGTGAAAAAGTTTAAATAAAAACATTTTCAGTTTCGGCCTGACATTTTTTTTATTTTGGTTTCGTTTTTGATATTTGAATTTTGTTTTAATGTAATATCCTATAATATACAGTATCCTAGTAAAGATAGATGTATATAAGTAATGCAAGTTGAGATTTTCCTTCTGCATTGAAATTTTATTATCTTACTAGTGTTATTCCCAACATGAGGTCCGAGAAGAATCTTGTTTCTAACAACAGAAGCAGAGGCAGTTCTTGACTCCCTCTGCTAACAGTCACTTTGATGTTTCCACCTTAACAGTTCTGTACCTCCCCAGAGTATCGACCAGCTGACAAGTGTCTTTGACAAGTACCTACTGTATGGACAACTCTCCATGAGCGATATAATCACCAAGTACAAACTTGATACTCTGCTTGTACTGGTAAAATGTTGATTCATAAAAGAATAAGAGCACTTTAAAACAAAGTATTGATTGTATCTCTGAGGACATCAGATGGATATCTGGTTAAAGGGCCCCACCACCAGCAGACTTTGCATTTGTCCATTGGCTAGATAAGGCCTAAGCAATATAGATAGGCCACATTGTTTTTGGCTTTATTATACCTCTGAATTTACCTCTGTGATTGCCGCCCTTATTTGTCAGTAGAGTCATTCCTCTCTCATTCGCATTGTGAGTTTTGGCAGGGCCCTTCCCAGGTGATTAAAGGGATCAAATGGTTTTTGTTTCCCCTTGTCTTCCTATATTTAAGTATTTGATTAATCCTTCTTAATCAGTGCTTCACCTACAGGGCTTATCCCTGCCTTACTAAAGCCCATTGTAAGATTGACGTATGAGTGCTGCCAGCATTTGCTGCAGAGGTTGAAGGGGTGGGGGGTCAGTATGTCAGTGCTCAGACCCTACGTTGGACACTGCATCAAATTGGTCTGCATGGGTGTCTTTTTTTTTTTTTAGCATATCAATTTTTATTGTTATTATAGCAGGTTACATAGTGATGACACATTTTCATAAAGAAATCAGAATGTGTTCACAACATGTGGTGAGGATAAAATACAGGATCATATACATTGCCGCAAATTTAACATGCGTGTGTATAGGCAGTGCTGGAAAATAATGGTGGCCACACAAAATATTGACACTTTGGGCCCAATTTGGACATTTTCACTTAGGGGTGTACTCACTTTTGTTGCCAGCGATTTAGACATTAATGGCTGTGCATTGAGTTATTTTGAGGGGACAGCACATGTACACTGATATACAAGCTGTACACTCACTACTTTACATTGTAGCAAAGTGTCATTTCTTCAGTGTCGTCACATGAAATGACATAATAAAATATTTACAAAAATGTGAGGGGTGTACTCAATTCTGTGAGATACTGTATATGAACAACTAACACTGAATACAACCACAGAGCCATACTTATCTCAGGGTAACTGTCGGCAATAGAATTCCAATCTGATCACTAGAATTTTCCGACTTGAAACTGGCCAGGAATATATACATAGATTAGAAGGTGCACAATGGTCACAATTGAGTAAAATTCATCCAACTTGTAAACGCATCCATAAAAATAAAGATCACACTGTCCCATTCCTGTTGATTGTGGCTGCTTTGGGTGACAATTTGTATGTTTACATATGCCACTTGACTCCCCCCCCCCCCCCCCCCCCCCAGCGCCCCTACGGTGGGTGTGCCCAGCCCCGCCAC